TTTTTAAATAATTGTTTTCATACTTTTTCATGTTTTGTGGAGAGTACAGGGTATTTTACTGTCAGGCTTGCTCCACTATAGCGTTCTATCTTGTTAAACTTATATAATAACTAATTTAAAGATAATTATACCCTGTACCCAAAGGGCAGAAGGAGGCGTGGCAATCCTCACAAAGTATATATATTCTTGATCAGGATGACAAGCTGAGTCGATATAGCCATGTCCGTCCGTCCGTCTGTCCGTATGAACGCAAGGATATCAGAAAGTATAAGACCTCTGTATAAGCCGAAAATAAGCTTTAAGCCAGAAGTATGACTGCCCATCGGGGTCGAAAATATTATTAGAGCGTTATTTTCACTGATAAGTCAAAAATTAACTTTTAGTCATATTTACGGCTAATAAAGTGCTCGAACACAAATATTTAACAGTAACAGTCAAAGATGGCGTTGGCAGCGTCATGGTTTGGGCCTGTATGTCTGCAGCCGGGATGGAAAAGATGGAGTTCATTGTGAGTACAATGAATAAAAATATGTACCTTTAGATTCAGACAAGAAAATTGCTCAAAAAGGCTGAAGATCTTGTCTTGTTGGAACCGTCCCCACGTTTAGTCCAAGATGCCTTATGTGAATACGCAGAAAATGTTTATTTTAGATTTTCCCTCCCACCCCCCTCTCCACTGTAATTAGTGACTCCATAATCCATAGTGATTCCATAACTCCCGTAATTCTTATGATTTCGAACTAAAATTTTTTAAATACGCCCAGTTAGTGATTATGTGCGTATGCCAAGTTTCATTATGATAGATCGATTTAACATATAAAAATTTTTGCTGCCCAAGCGCTGCCCCCAGCTGTTGTTGATGTTGGTACTTTGGTTGACTGCAAACATGCTCACGCAGACACGAATAGACACGCATAGACATACATACGCTCGTATATATACAATATATTCTGAATCGATCTAGACATTTCCGTCAGTCCGTCTGGATGAACGCAAGGATCTCAGAAACTATAAAAGCTAGAATAACTAAAGTTGTCTACCAGATTCTCCTAGGTCCGAGAAAGGACGAGTTTTTTTTTTAATTATATGTACATTATTTTACGCACCAACCGGCAAGACCGCCTTAAGACGGTCATTAAATTTCATTTAAAAACTGCACGTTTTATCATTTTTTCTATGAAATTTTTAATATAAAACTCAAATAAAATATTGTAACTATTCACCATAAAATGATGAGCTTGCCCACTTTATTAAAAACACACTGTACAGCTTAAGCCGGTATGCCAAATACGAAGTTCCAAAGTATTAGACTTATTCACTTCCAAGCAGAGCTTGCAAATAACTGTTAACCGTTTCTCTAGGTCATAAAATAACTGTTATTTACGGACTTTTTTGGGAAATAGTCACAACTGAACCGTTCACTACGTTTGTTGAATAAATCGTTCTCAGTTCAACCAAGAACCAGTTTTTTGTTTTCCTTTTGATCTGATTATTTACTGAACGTTTCGTCCTGAGCGAGAAAATAAAAGTCTTTTGCGTTTGTGTGCGTGCATGTAAGTGTATGACTTATTTGTTCTTATCATTTGATTTTCTTTTTTCTGTGTCTTTGGATTGGGCCGGGACCAAAATAAAAAAGTGCAGACGGAAAGCCATTTTTATTTCTGGAGAGCGAAGGGTTTAATTAATTAGTGAACCAAATTTATAGCGCGCTTTCAATGACTCCTATAACTTCCCGGAATATTATGAGCCATGTGAATATTAGAGAGCAGCATGGTCGTTTACCATTGAATGCGGACATTCTAGATTTTTAGATAGTCTTCTAGCCTTAGACTACTTGATATCATCATCCCTTTCAACTAAAAACCACATCTCCATCATTTCACTGGATTTCACGAAAGCATTCGATAAAGTTGGGCTACATTCAATAATCGATGAACTTCAGTCCTGGAATATCGGTCCGAAAATATTAAACTATATCGTAAGCTTCATGTCTTCCAGGAAAATAGTGGTATATGCCAATAACCAGTTTTCCTCGACTAAACCTCTGCACAATGGCATTCCTCAAGGTTCACCCCTTTCTGTCATACTCTTTCTTATTGCCTATAATAAATTAAATAGAACAATAAGCATGCCCAAAGGATTTAATTTTTTCGCGTATGCAGATGATTACTACGTAGTAAAAAAATTAAACATCCATCCAAGCTGACAATCTTATGTCAGACATTTTATCATGGTGTGATTATTCAGGAGCACAACTTTCTATTGCAAAATGCAAGCACCTACATATCTGCAGAAAAAAATTATGCAACGTTTTTATAACATCATCCATAGCCCCTATCTCAGGATTAACAATTAACAATAAATACACCTGGTCCAATCACATCACCTCACTTTTACAATCACTCACAGTTAGATTAAATATTATTAAATGTCTCTCAAACAATAGATACAACTGCAACCATCTCTCCGTAATCATAGCCACAAATCTCTTAATAATGTCGAAAATTGACTTTGGAATTCACATTTACGGCTACTATCCTGCTTCTCAAACCAATAAAGTCAAAACCATCTACCACTCTGATTTACGCTTTGCTCTTGGGGCTTTTAGATCCACACCAATAAACAACATGCTCTTTGAATCTAAAATATTGCCGTTTGAAATTAGAAGAGAATTAAACACAGCCAAAGTAATTAAAACAATATTGCTCTCTAAAGACTCTACTGTTGAACACTTAATTAAAGTTATAAAGAAAAAAAGAAAATACCAAAATTACATCATCTTTGTACCGATCACTTCAAATCTCTCGAGAGCTCAGCCTTCCTACCAATCCCATCCCAATTTCCAAGGTCAAGGTCCCCCCTTGGCAAGAAAAAACTAAAACTGACACCACATTGCATGAGGCACTTAAAACATCGACCTCATCAACACAATACCAACAAATGTTTCTCCACATCAAAGAATTATTACCTTCCCACTCCTTTATATACACTGATGGTTCCAAATCATACGACTCCACCTCTTTTGGAATTTACTTCAACAACATAAGCAAACCCTTTCTACTCCCACACTACAGTTCAATATTTGCAGCCGAACTAATAGCGATTGTTCAAGCTATACAAACTGCTACTTCTTACTCCAACCCGGTCGCTATATGCACTGACTCTCTTTCTGCTTTAGAAGCAATAAAAAATCCTTCAAATATATCATACTATCCCCTACAAGCCAGACAGTTACTGTCATCACATTTCCCCCATGTAACATATGCCAACTCTGCAACACCAGCTCTCCTACCCCAGTAAAAACACATTTTATCGGAATGCCCGGAATTTAATATCTACCGACAGATTTATTTCCCATCTCTCGACCCATCCACTTCTCTTTTTTGTCCATCTAAAGACAACTATAAAATACTTAAAAAGTTTCTTAAAAAATCAAATTTAATTCATAAATTATTATTATTATATATATAAATTATAGCAATATAGCAATTACAATTCCACACACAATATCTTCTTATTACCTTTAACTTTTGTATAAAAAATCAATTTCACTACAATAAATCATACTATTTTTAAGTTAAGCTTAAGGCCTCGTCGCTATAGCTTATTCCATAGCTTATCTGTAATTTTAATTACCTATTAAGCTATTTATAAATAAATAAAAAACAAGATAGAACGCTACAGTCGAGCAAGCCCGACAGTAAAATAGCCTGTACTCTCCACAAAAAGGAAAAAATAAAAAAAAAAAAATAAAAAAAAAATTAAATTATTAAAAAAATGAATGAATTAATTAATTAAAATAATTAATTAAATTAAATTAGAATACATGTTTATGTTCAGTTTAAACAGCATACATTTACATCACGTACCTATGCGTGTTCATATGCGTGTATGCATGCAGCACAAAGTTGAACAACAGCAGCAACAACAACAACAGTTGCGGGCAGCGCTGCCGACAGAGCTGCAGGCAGCGCATGAGCAGCGATTTTACTTATGGCTATAACTTTCTTCAGAATTCACCTAGCATGATTTGGCACACGGACACATTAGTACTAACTGGATGTACCTACCAAAATTCCGAGAATTACGGAAGTTATAAAAAAAATACGAATTGCGGGGGAGTGGGGAGGTGTATCAGAAAAAATAAACAAACTCGTTCTGCCTAGGGCTTATAGGAACCTTGATACCAATTTTGGTTATCCTAGCTCTTGTACCTTCTGAGATCCTTGCGCTCGTCTGTATAGACAGACGGACAGACGGACATGGCTATATCGACCCGTCTTCTCATCCTGATCAAGAATATATATACTTTGTGGGGTCTGCCACGCCTCCTTCTGTGTGTTACATACATGCGCACAAAACTAGTATAGCCTTTCACCCTTTGGGTACAGGCTATAAAAAATAGATTTTTACAAGAAATTGAAGCTAAGCTGGCTACACCGGCGACTCAGGTGTCCATTGAAAGAGCATTTTCATCTCTTAATTTCATTTTAAACGATAAAGGAAGTTCTTTAATTGGAGAAACAATAAATTCGTTATTAATTGTTAAGCTCAACGCAGAATAAATAATAAAAATTTATTATCCCATTGATACATTACTTTTATTATTTTACTAATATGAATAATTACTTAAATAATTCAACTAGAAGTGTGTGTAACGGATTTTGTGTGTGTGTGTGTGAATTACTGAGCGTTTGGGCTGAGCATTTCATTTTTCGGTTTATCTACTGATTCTCAAAATATGAACTGTCAACCGGATTGCTCTCTGTAAGTTGTTAATAAACGAGCGTAAAACAAACAGCTCGACGCAAAAAAAAAAACGAAGACAAACGAAGTGTTCTGCTCAGAACGATATCAAGCATGCCTGATTTTTCGGTTTGAGCAGTAAAAACAATATACACCTGTTCTTTTCAGGTACGGTGTATAAAAATATAGCCATTAAAAAATATGTACATTATTACAAATAGTAATAGTCCTAATAAACTGATTTCATTTTACAGGAGAGGCCTTTTAGGGTGGGATAGACTGCTCACATTTCTATGTAAGGAATGGCTAAAAGATATAAAGCGGAATCAACTCCCCACTATTTTAAGTGGCATTGGTCCAACAAATGCTGTATTGCAATTATGTAAGTATGCATTAAAATTGGCTTTCGACTTTCTTTTAAGCCCTTTGTGCTTCAAATACAATAATATACATAGTAATTCCTACATATTAATATAAGTATGAACATAAAAACCCACCCAACATAAAAACCATAAAATTAAAACACAAAAATTATTTAAACACGTTTAGTCCGATTTTTGGCCACCCAAGAATAATATGTGACTGACAGAGTAGGTGGCGAAAATGATGCTGACTTTGTTCGGCTACACGTGTTTATTTTTATACCCTGTACCCAAAGAGTACAAAGGTATATATATTAGTTTTGTGCGAGTGTACATGGAACACACAGAAGGAGGCGTGGCAGACCCCACAAAGTATATACATGTAAGATGGGAAGGCAGGATAGTGAGAATGGCAGAACACCTAGAAGCAGCATCGCCATCAGTACTTGGTACTCATTTTGGTTTTAAGCAGTAAGTTGTCAGCCGCACTACCACAGTCGTCAGCCGCACTACCACAGTCGTCAGCCGTAAAGACAGAAGCAGAAGTCAGCAGTCAGAAGAAGAAGCAGAGAGAAGCCGTCAGAGAAGTCAGCCGTCGAACCAGAGTGCCTTAGCTGCACTATCCGCCATCATCATTTTACATTATATACCTATTTTAAACTATATCATATATCTTGGTATCGTTATCAATAATAAACATTCTATGATACACAAGATCACATACATATATTCTTGATCAACATGACAAGCCGAGTCGATATAGCCATGTCCGCCTGTCCGTCTGTCTGTATGAACGCAAGGATCAGAAAGAGCTAGAATAACCAAACTTAGTATACAGATTCTCCTGAGCCCGAGAAAGGACGAGTTTGTTCATTTTTTCCGATGCAACCCCCGACTTCCCCGCTATTTGCGATTTTCTATAACTCGCGTAATTCTTGGAATTTTAAACTAAAATTTGGTAGACACATCCAGTTAGTGATTATATATATTATATATATATATATTATATATATATATATATATATATATACATATATATGTATATATATATATAATAGTATACCAAGTTTCATTACAAGTATGATAGGGTGATTAGAAAGAAAGTTATAGCCATATAACCAGTCCCAATGCACACATACATGCATATGTACAAGTACACCAACACACATAGACACGATTCTGATGTAAATGTAAATGTATGTATGCATGTATGGAATATTTTATATTTAATTAATTATTATAGCCTGTACCCAAAGGGTAAAAGGCTATATTAGTTTTGTGCGAATGTATGTAACACACAGAAGGAGACGTGGCAGACCCCACAAAGTATATATATTATTGATCAGGATGACAAGACAAGTCGATATAGCTATGTCCGTCTGTCCGTCCGTCCGTCTCTCGCGCAACGATCTCAGCAAGTACAATAGCTAGGATAACCAAACTTGGCATTCAGGTTCCCCTAAGCCCCAGGCAGATCGAGTTTGTGTTTTTTTTCTGATACACCCCCCTCCCCTGCAATTCGTGTTTTTCCTAACTCCGGTAATTTTGAATTTTGAACTCAAATTTGGCATATACATCCTGTTCGTGGTTATTTGTCCGTATGCCAAGTGTCATCATGATAGGTCAATTATGAAGAAAGTTATAGCCATAAATTAATCGCTGCCCATGCTCTGCTTGCAGCGCTACCCGCAGCTGTTGTTGTTGTTGCTGCTTTGGTTCAACTTTGCTGCATACATACACGCATATAAACACGCATAGGCACGTGATGTAAATGTATGCTTTTTTTTTAATTTTCCTTTTTTGTGGAGAGTACAGGTTATTTTACTGTCGGATTTGCTCGACTGTAGCGTTCTCTCTTGTTTTTTTGTGGGGTAGTACAGGGTTTTTAAGAGTTGAGCGTGCTCGACTTTAGCATTCCTTTCTTGGTTTTTTTTTTTTTTTTGGTGGGGTGGTACAAGGTATTCAAGAGTTGAGCCTGCTCGACCTTAGCATTCCTTTCTTGTTGTGTTAGGAAATATTTTTATATTACATATATAATAATGATAATGGTACACAGATGCCCTATGTGTGTACGATATATGAGTTTTTTTCATTTTTGATGTTAATGCCATATTTTATCGTAATAGGCCGATTAGAGTGGAAGATATAACCATAAATGTAGTCCCTGCCGAAGCTCTCTCCGCAGCTTTTGTTGTATATTTCAGTTCTTCTTGTAACTCTTCCAGTGTGTACATATTTACATTAAAACTAGAGATGGAATATTTTAAGCAATATTTACATAAGGCTTAACATATAATATATAGTTCATCGTATCGTATTTACATAAGGGTGTTTACTACTACGGTATTTACATAATTTTAACAGACGAAAATAGGCTGGTGAGTGGCTTTCAGGCTACTGTCTCACCTGCCTCGCACCCGTTAAAACCTGGCAAGCCTCGGAGAACGCCCGTTAGGTTGTGGTGTAGGATATTCAAAGATAACCATGAGACCTCAATAAGAGTAACTACACAACTAATGGGTTGCTCTAGTTTTTACAATCATATATAAGAAACATGAAAAAACGCTGTGTTTCCGTCCTCAATGAAATTTTTAGAAAGAATCGGAAATATTGGTAGCACGCACTACTAATTTATTTTTGTTGATTATTTTTATACTCTGTATATCAAATGTACAATACTATTTTATGTTTGCGCAAGCTGAAAAATGTAACAGGCAGAAGGAGGTGTGGCAAACCCCACAAAGTTAATATATTCTTGATCAGCATGACAAGACAAGTCGATCTAGCCTTGTCTGTCCGTCCGTCTGTATACACCTGGATCTCAGAGACTATATGAGCTAGAGACACAAAATTTTGCACAAAGTTTATTTTATTTTTTTGATTTTCCTCCCACTTCCCCCTATGCAGTATGGTTTTTTGCCTGTTTTTTTTTTTTTTTTTGACAAACTGGAAATATTAGGATATTTACCCAAAATTTAGTTTATACGCATATTTTAATAGCTCGAGACGACATACCAAGTTTGGTTCTGTTTGGGCTACTATTTCATATAGCTGCCATATAACCGATATGGCCGATTTTCACTAACTTCAGTATTTTTAACTGCATCAAACCAAAAACTGGCCTATGCATGCAATATATTTTAGTTCACAAAACATAAATAATTGAATATGAGTATATTTTATTTTTCGTTAATACTGTCCACATTTCAAAAGCTATATAAACAAAACTTTGCACACGTAATTTATATAGAATCATCTATCTTTGTTTTAAATTTCAATGAAATCGGTAAATTTTTAGAAAAGTTATTAGTGAAAACATTTCACTCTAGTACTACGCCCACAAGCTACAGCATCAAGCTAGCTCATCTTCTTTTTGCTTCCGCTATGGGCGTATATAACTCAGTGCTTGAAGTTTGTCTTGGTACAGGGTATTTCACTGTCGGGATTGCTCGACTGTACCGTTTTCTATCACGGCTCAAAATCGCCATCAGCATCAACAATCATGTTAAAAGAAAAACAATTTGTTTTTTTTTTTTGAATGGCTTTAAAGTTTGATTACAACTTGGCATGTGTTTGTTAATATAATTGGAGAAGGTTTTTATACTCTGTACATGAAATGTACAGAAGTATATTAGGTTTGCGGGAGCTGAAAAATGTAACAGGCAGAAGGAGGCGTGGCAGACCCCACAAAGTATATATATTCTTGATCAGCATGACGAGACGAGTCGATCTAGCCCTGTCTGTCTGTCTGTCCGTCTGTCCGTCCGTATGAACACCTGGATCTCAGAGACTATAAGAGATAGAGACACCAAATTTTGCACAAAGATGCCTTATGTGTGTATTCTATACGAGTTTGTTTTATTTTTTTGATATTCCCCCCCACTTCCCCCCTATGGGGGTTTTCCCTATTTTCCATTCGTATAATCGCCTATATGTCGGAGACTATAAGACCTAGGAACACCAAATTTTTGTCCAAGATGCCTTGTGTGAATACGCAGAAAATGCATATTTTGGAATTTCGCTCCCTCCCCCCTCTCCCCCGCAAATGCGATTTTCTCTAACTCCCGTAATTCTTGGAATTTCGAACTAAAATTTTGGAAATACCCCCAGTCGGTATATCAGAGAGTCGGTAATAGAGTGCTATTGATAGTGCAGTAATGCAACTCCACAGCGGGCCTGTGACGGGCGGTATGGCACTACCAAACGTCACAGCGCGTTTGCGACGGGCGAAACAGCAAAAGTCGGTAATAGAGGGCTGTCGGTAGTGCAGTGATGCGTCGATCAAAGTCACAGCGGGCCTGCGACGGGCGGTAAAGCAGAAGTCGGTAACAGAGGACTGTCGGTAGTGCAGTGTTACGACGAGCAACGTCACAGCGGGCCTGCGACGCTGCTCAAGCGCTGCTGCAGCGCTGCCCGCGGCTGTTGATGCTGGTGCTTTGGTTGACTGCACACAGACACGAATAGATGCGAATAGGCATACATACACTCACACAGACGCAATTGCTATGTAAATGTGCAATTATACACCCATTACGTAAGTTCAAATACCGAGAGAGGTAAAATCGATAAAAAAAATTTTTTTTTTTTCTTAATTTTTTTTATTTTCTATAATTATTGTAAACATATGTACAGAGTATTTCAAAGTCGGAACACCCGACTTTAGCTTTTTTACTTGTTACTTTTACCAATATTAACATAGTATTGTATTCATCTAAGATGTTTACGTTAATTTTCTGTAATATATTCTGCTTAAATGCGTCTTCTGAGTCTTTGTTGCTACTACAAATGTCAACAATGTTTGCATGCCCAAACAGTAGTTTTGCGGCAACAAACGTAATTTTACAGAAAACGTGCAAATTGGGACGAAGTTCTTTAGTAATTCCATAATAAACATATATTATTTAGTATTTTCACATTTATAATTTTTTGCCACTCTTTACCATTCAAAAGTACTATTTCACGAAACACAGCGCAACTTATAAAGGTTAATTTAAAAACAAGAAAGGAATGCTAAAGTCGA